ACAAGAAGCGCTGGGAGCTTTGAGAAAGACTTGTGCCCTCTGCAGAAATGAGAGAGGTGCCACATAAAGTAACCTCAGACACCCTCATCAGGGAAAACAAAGGGATCTTTCAAGAAAGGGAGTGATGGCTGGATTCTAGCCATTCTCTTCCTTGGTGTTCCTTCTCAGTAATCCCCTAAGCCTAGTGTATCCCCAGGAACACAGAGGTCTATTTCTGTTTCCGGGGAACGTGTCTGATGGCCTGTGTTCTTGACTCACCCACACCTAACACCTCCCTCACCTTTCTACAGGGAGGCACGCATTTCCCTGACCCCAGGCTCCCTGTCCCGGCTCTCGTCTGCCTGCACGAAACTTCAAAAGCTTTCGGATCAGAAGCAGTCTGGGATAAGCAGCTACGTGTCTGTCCACATGATGATCACGGTTCCTGCATAGCCCGCAGCGGTGCACTGTGAAACCTCCAAAAGCCAGAGGCACGAGTTTGTCCCATGATGGCAAAAATTGCCCTGTGGTGAGTGTACATTTAGGTCGTTGCCATAACACTAAATACTTCACTTCTGTAGGACATATGGCACGGCTTTTTTGTATGATTTCACTCACTTCCCTTACCGCACATTGCAGGGGTCAAGTGAAGAGTAGGAACGTACTTTTCCATCTCACTTCCTTTGAGTGCTTGGCCTTCTACCTTTCCTTTTCTCCACTAACGTGTGTCATTTCCTTACAGCCCAGCACCGAGACTCCCACCCCATCATCTGGAGCCAGAACTAAGGGCCTTTCAGCCAGCAGATCTCCTTCCCGCCCTGACCCTGAACTTAGCCACCAGCCCAGGAGCCTAGCAGAATTCAGCTTCCTAATAGTAAAGGAATCGCTGAAGGCTCCACACTCCATTGAAGAGACCCCGTTTAACCCTCAGATTCCAAGCAATTCATGCTAATTTTGAATATACATATCTCTTGTCTGAGAAATAACTCACTTCTGAATGTTGCAATCGACATTCGCTGTCTGGGAAGATCTCTCACCCCCAAGGCTGGTGTTCAGCTGACTCACACAAGAATGGCCATACCAATTCAATTATCAAAATTTGCAATTGTGGGATATTTCCCACCCTACCTAATCCCTTCGTCCTACCTCACTGAGGCCAATGCAACTCCTCCCCAGGACATCCTGGGTCTCCCCTAAAACCCAGCCATTAAAAGGGTTAATCCTGGGCCAGGACAACCAGCTGAGCAGATGCACACCTGTCACAATTGTGATTGATGAGCGTCCAAGCCGCTGAAGTTAAGTATCTGGAATGTTACTTCTGAGCTTTGGGGTGCTGATGTACTTGACCGACACAAATCCATCCAGCTGTTAATAGTAACGATCATCAGCAACGTCGTCATCTGGCTCAGGGGCTCTCAAACTCAAGCGTGCATCAGCGTCACAAGAGAGGGCTTGTTAAAGCATAGCCACACAGCCCCACCCTCAGAGGTTCTGATTCACCAGCTCCAGGGTGTGGTCTAGGAAGCTGCATTTCTCACAGGCGCGGCTGGTGCTACTTGTCCACAGCTGACAGCTCCCTGCTGGAAAAGTCCCTTCTCTAGAGGATTTCTCCAACACCAATCAATGAGCGTAAGAACCACACTTGGGGAGGGCATTCAGCCCAGCAGCCTCGCACACTGGAGCCCGTGGGTTCAAGTCCCAGCTCTGCTCCCAACTTGAGCTTCCTGCTAGGGCAGACCCCGGGAAGCAGCAGATAATGCCTTAAATGACTGGGTCCCCAGTACCCATGTGGGAGATCGGGATTGAGTTCCCAGTTCTTGGCTTGGGCTCCCTGGTCATTGTGGGCATTTGAGGAATGAACCTGCATATGTCTGTTTCTCTTTCCACACCCTCTTCCCCAACCCCCTCCCTCAAATGTAAAGAAAAAAATTAGACTCACATAAGAAATTACAAAACATGAATTGTCATTCAGTGGATCTGAGGTTAAGCCCCAAGTTCTGCATTTCAATCAAACCACAAGGTGATGCCAACGTCTACGTAAGACACTGAATAGCAAGACCCGAGAGCACACAAGGGAATTCACCCTCTACTTCCCCCCACCCCGTAAGTCCTACTTACCAGCCTTTCATGCCCTCAGTATATCCTTCCTTTCCCATCGTATTTTCATTTGGTTTCTTCCCTTTGCTTTCTTCTGCTCTCCCTCCCTTTCCCTCTCCCCAGCTTTCTTTACTTCCTTTCCTTTCTCTCCTTACCTCTTTTCTTCCCCTGTTGTTTTTCTTGTCTATTTTTCCAAGGTTTAAAATTCCCAGCCCACTCATGGGATTCTATCACTAGCTAAGTTATAAATAAGTAAATAAAATGCAAGCCTAGCTTCCACCATAGAGACTCCACCCCGGCCGTCTTGAAGCTTCATGATTCCAACAATGAGGTCAGAACTGAGTCTAGGAAAATAACGTGTGAGTGCATGACAGGGAAACCATGGAGGCAGCCAAGGGCAAAGGGAAAGACTAGATGCCTCTCTTCTAGAAAATTCTTGGATGGGAGCTTTTTTTCCAAGAATAGAGATTTTTCCTGCTTACTGACTAGGCATTCTTTCTGAAAACATTTTTTTGAAAAGTCAGTTTTGGTGCATTTGGCCATTTTCTGGATTTTAATAGAGCTTAATTATAGTTGGGAATAAACACTTCTGTGAACAGAACAGACCTTGTACTCTCTGCCCTTGGGCTGGGCAAACTTCTTACCAGCACATTCATGGAAAAGGTGACAAGCCTAGTGCCAAAGGGCACAATACTGGCCTGGCCCTCTTTGACTTCTGGAAACCCAGGGATGTGACCAGTTTGTTGGTTTAGGAGCTGCATCTAAGAATTAAATCTATACTGTCTTCATTCTAAATGCAATGGGGGAGAAACTCAGAAATAAATTCCCCAAGGAAAATGAGGGTAGAATGGTGGGTGTCTTCCTGGCACAGAAAAGAGAAGGTGGGAGGGAATTCACCCTGAATTCAGTTCATATAGCACTAAATGGCTTTCTCAGAGACTTGCCTGTGTTAGCTGACCCTGGGTTTCTCCCTAGGTGACAGGTGATCAAGGCTTGAATTCTAAATTCCAACTAGCGTAAACTATCTAAACCTGTAGTACCCCAATATTCCCATCTGTGGAATGGACACAGACTCCTTAAGACGACCTTTACGGAAAGGATGCCTGGAATGCAGCCCACACGTTGAAGCATTGGTTCTCAGCTGTGGGCCAGGAGACATCTGTGGCTGTCACCACCTGGGGGTGCTACTGCCATCTTGTGAGTCAAGGCCAAGGGTGCTGCTAAACATCTTTCCCCAGGCACAGGACAGCCCCCAGTGGCAAAACTATGTCTGCCCAAACTGCCAGTCATGCTATGGCTGGAAACCACACAAAACACTTGGAAGACGTTCAGTTGTATGTCAACATCCGTCTTTCCTTGTTGAATGAAAATGAAAGAGAAGTAACTGAGGACAAGCTCTTCAATATACAACACAAACGACGTTCCTGGCTGGGACGGCAGAAGCATCAAACAAAACCAAACGTTTCCAACTCAACCGCCTCCAGGGACCAAGCAAGTCCTAGAAACAAGCAACCAAAGGCAACAAAAAAACTGAAAAACAGGCAATGGACAAAAACATTAGAAATTCCTCAAATATCTGTTATTGTGGTGTGAGAAGAGGTGCACGCCCATGTGGGTGATCCTGTTGGGACTGCGGGCCTAGCCCATGCAGGAGGTGAGCCTGACTGCGAGCAGGCAGCAGGAGCCCCAGGCACGTTTCCCCCACCCCTGCTGAAGGGTCTTGTAATTACCAATCAGGTAAACTGCTCCCAGGTGTGGCCCAGGCCCATCAGGAAAGCTACCGTGACCTTCAAGCTGATTGGAGCGTAGCAGTGCCAGTATAAGCTCTATCCTATAGAATGAGTGCTGCCCTGAACTAGCTACGCCCCTTCTTGCCCTTTAAAAGGTGTGCTTGTTCGTTAATAAATTGGACATGTTCCCTGAAATGCTTGTGGAAGAACGCCATGGCCCCACCACCCCGGCAGTGTGGGCCTTGCAGGATGAGCCGGCACAGCCACATAGAAACGGCCACTCCTCCATGAGCCCTCGAGGACTCCAAGTGATAGAAGGTAGTGGGGCCCCGGAAAGAGGATGCACCCTCCGCAGGGACAGCCCCTTCTCTCGCCACCTGACAGCTATCCCGCAGTGCAGGACTAAACTCCCAGAGCTGGATGTATAGAAGAGAAAAGCGAGTTTTTTATGGAGTATTATGATAGAATCTGCTACCTCCCCCCACCTCTCCGCTCTCTCTTCTTATCCTCTGATGATTTAAGGAACATCAGTCAAGGCTGCACATGTTTGTTTGTTTGTTTGTTTTCCTGATTTTCAATTCTGAAAAATGGTAAAACATCAAGTGCAGAGGACAGCGACAGACCACTGTTTTTGTCTGGCCTGGTAGCTAGAAATGGTTTTTCTATTTGTGAAAAGTTGTAAAAACAAAGACCCTATAGCCGAGACTGTGTGTGGTTCATACGTTACAGGAAAAGTTTGTCAGCCCTTTTCCTAGCATATAACAAAGCTCCTTTACTTTCGAAATAGAGCAAAGTAGCAAAGTTCAGGGGATCTGTGACTCAGAAAACCACATTTCCTGGAAACTTATTATAGGATTAAGGCTTCACTATTTTTCTCAATGGCAAAAGAGTTCCTTCAAAATCCTAAATGAAAATAATGTTCATCTACTTAATCTTAACCCATTTGCTTCTCATTTGGTAACTGGGGACAAGGGTTGCAGAAATATGGTTGGAAATATGTGCAAAAGAGGAAAACGAGACAGAAATGTCTTTAAGTCTGCATACAAGGCCCTCAGCTTGCTGGTTCTTGACTGGCCACAAGTTAACCAACAAGTCATAACTTCAAAGTGGAATTAGCTCTCTAGTCTGCCCGGGTTCCAGGTTCTGAGATGACATGTTCAATGATGTCACAGAGAAGTTACCCTTATGTTCTGGCCAGGATCCTATAATTAATGAGACAGCTCCAGTGATCCTCTTGGACCAACAGAGTTTCGTCAGCAGGTGCCGGCTGGAAACCATGGTGCAGGTTATAAAAGACACGGCAAGTGCTTATTTGGCTTCCTTGAATATTTCAGAAGTGGCCATCTTGAACAGACTCAACAAGCTTTGAGGCGACTTCCTTCCTTGCTGTGTAACCAGGGAAGGCTTTTACATTCTTGCTCCTTGTGCTGTTCCGCGAGAGATGGCACCATCTAGAGAAGTGGCCAAGGGACAAATGGATCAAAAAGGGTTTTCTTCCATTCCAACTCTTATTTCTTGCTCTGATGCTAGCTGGGTTCAGGTCGGCTCCTCACAGACCCTGCCCTTAGCTGTGCTTGGAAATCTATGGAACTTAGAGAATCCACATAGATTCACTTACCCTAGGAAAGAGAATGGAGCCGCCAGACATACCTATGAAGGGCAGCTCTCTCCTTCCTACTCTTATTCAGATATCAACTCCACTCCTCATTGAGGTGAACTTTGACCACACCAACTGCACTTGTAACCCAATCCCCATCCTTCCCCCCAACCCCGCTTCATTTTTCTCTTGGTAAGTAAAGCATCACTAACGTCCTTCCTGTTTTACCTGATGACCCACCAGCTGGCTTCCACTCCTGCAGTGTAAGCTCTGTGAGAGAAAGGAATTGTGGGTTTGTGTTCTGACCCACAGATGTACCCTAAAGCTTTGTCCAATGTCTGCATTGTATAGGCTTCAATGGGGATGTGTTGAATGAATACCTGTTCAGTGGGAGTACTCCCTTCAGATAACTCAGCCAAGTCAAGTTCATGGGCCCAACTGGATCAATTCACAGTCAAGCAATAACTCCTGGGAGGCAAACAGTGTGGGAGCTTGTGAGGATGGCATCCACCTTATTTCAGAAACAAGTGAGAAAATGGAGGCTTGGCAGAGCTCTGAAAGAATTAGTGACTGTATCCTATAGGAATGGTGATAAAGGAAGAGAGTGCCTCTTTGGGAGTCACCATTTTCACCTGCTTGAAACTAAATCAAAAGGCAACATAATTGTCAAGTCCCCTATTAGGGAGTAAGCACACCATTTGTGTGGAATTAACCGCATCCCTAATGGGGCTAGGCCCTTACTGACTTAACCCAATTAACAATCCCATGCCCAACCCCCATTCAGGCCAATGAAAGGAAATATGGGTCCCATCACCACCAAGAACTCAGGGAATGATTTTGTGTTGTAGTCAAGGAAATGGGCTCTGCAAGTAGGCTCCTTAGGTTAACAATCCTAGCTGCACCACTCGTCAGCTGGTTGACCTTGAGAAAGTTAATGAACTCCAGTTTTCTCATCTGTGAACTAGGGGTGATAATAGTACATGCCCTGTAGAGTGAGTGTAAAGACTGTGTGAGACTATGAGACACAACAAGAGAAAAGGAGAAAATATTTCAAGACAGCCTTCTGTATGAACAAAGCATTTGCTCAGGCAGTAACTATTCCATAACTACTCAGATTAGACCCGTCAGAACTCTGGGAGGGGCAGGGATGGATCAGTATTGAGTACTGGAGGCACTTGGGGAGATAAACCAAGCATGAAATCACCAGCCTGGGAGAGTCACTGTCCACACAGAAGAGTAGATACGGCGATCTGAGGCCTCAGGAAAGGAAGCCTTTTTTTTTTTTTTTTTTTTGACAGGCAGAGTGGACAGTGAGAGAGAGAGACAGAGAGAAAGGTCTTCCTTTTGCCGTTGGTTCACCCTCCAATGGCCTCCACGGCTGGCGCGCTGCGACCAGTGCACCGTGCTGATCCGATGGCAGGAGCCAGGTGCTTCTCCTGGTCTCCCATGGGGTGCAGGGACCCAAGCACCTGGGCCATCCTCCACTGCACTCCCGGGCCACAGCAGAGAGCTGGCCTGGAAGAGGGACAACCGGGACAGAATCCGGCGCCCCGACCGGGACTAGAACCCGGTGTGCCAGTGCCGCAAGGTGGAGGATTAGCCTAGTGAGCCGCGGCACTGGCCAGGAAGCCTTCTCTTTTACATGACCTGCACAACTGATGGAATGAGTACTCACTTAAATCGTGGTCATTCCCCCACAGCAAAACAAAACAAGAAAGGACTCAAGAGGTTAGATTAGGTTAGTTCTTCTCTTTTCAAATTTCACTCTTAATGTATATGTTGGTCCTTATTTGAACAAAAAATACACATAGGAGTATATAGATATGGATATATAGAAATAGATATCTACCTTGAACAATATTTCAGTCCCACCCTCCCTCCTCATCTTTCCCTGGTCAGCCTCAGTGTCTCCCCAGAAGTGATCATCATTACCAACCTCCATTATCAGCTCATTTGGTAAATAGAATCCTAACCTTTTAGTAGGCTTATCATTATTGATATGCAATTAGAAAGAGGAATATGTCTGACCTCAGAGACATGTAGAAAATGTTGGGTCATCTAGAAAAAATGGGGTAGGACAATGAGTTCAGATTTTTGAGAACTAACCTGACTAACCTATCACTCTCTTTTCTGACAGACTCTATGAGATTATGCACATTTCCTCATCTATGTTTTGGTTTCAGGATGAATTGAAAACATTTTTGAAAGCTGCTGGATACAAACTTGTAGTGGTTGAATTTTCAGCAAAATGGTGTGGTCCCTGCAAAAGAATGTCTCCTCTTTTTCATGTGAGTGTCATCAGTGTCTATATCATGGTTGTACCAGAAATTGAAAATCCCTAAATGTTTTTCCCAGGAATTGTTGAAAGTTTGGTACACCTGAGCCATTAGAGAACCATAGTGTTTTGGGTTAACCTGAAGATAATACATGAGCTCTAAGTAAATGACGCCAGAATATGGTTACTATTTGCCTATGAATAATTCTGCAAGGAGTATCACTATGTGAAAAAGAGGAGTGGGTGTTTGGCCTAGAAGTTCAGCTGCTAGTTGGGACACACGCACACCCCGTACTGGAGCTGGTCCTAGCCCCGGCTCCGCTCTGAATCCCACTCTCTGCTGATGGGCGCCCGGAAAGGCAGCGGGTGGCAGCTCAGGCTGAGTTCCCAGCTCCCAGCTTCAGCCTGGCCCAGCCCCAGCCCCGCCCCAGCCCCAGCCCCAGCCCAGCCCCAGCTCTTGTGGGCATGGGGGGGGGGGGGGGGCAAAGCAGCAGGTGGAAGAGCTCTCGCTGTCTCTCTTTCTCCCTCCCCCCTATTTCTCCCTTTCTCTCTCTTCCTCTCCCCCATTCTCGAATAATTTAAAATTCAATTAAATATCTGTGCAAAAGAGTCCAATTGTACAAATGGATGATTCACATTATAGTAAGTACATTTTACCAAAGTTCCAGAGTTCAGAACTTCTAAACATTAGAATAGTTTACAGAGCACAATAAACGCGCTTACTTTTAACTATAATATAAAAGAGTAAACTTCCTCCAGTTCTTCAGTCTTATTATCTGAATAAATAATGTGTCTTTTTAAAGGCATTCTTAATTTTTCCTATGGTTTTATTGAGACATAACTGACATACAAAAACTGTGCATATTTAATATGCAGTCTAGATATATGCAGATGCGTTATCACTTCCAAATATTTCTGTGTGTACTTTGTTTTCTTTTTTTGACAGGCAGAGTGGACAGTGAGAGAGAGACAGAGAGAAAGGTCTTCCTTTGCCGTTGGTTCACCCTCCAATGGCCGCCGCGGCCGGCGCGCTGCGGCCGGCGCACCGCGCTGATCCGATGGCAGGAGCCAGGAGCCAGGTGCTTTTCCTGGTCTCCCATGGGGTGCAGGGCCCAAGGACTTGGGCCATCCTCCACTGCACTCCCTGGCCACAGCAGAGGGCTGGCCTGGAAGAGGGGCAACCGGGACAGAATCCGGCGCCCCGACCGGGACTAGAACCCCGTGTGCCGGCGCCACAAGGCGGAGGATTAGCCTAGTGAGCCGCGGCGCCGGCTTTGTTTTCTTTCTTACAAGAAAGAACATATAACAGAAGATTTACACTTTTAATATATGTTTAAGTGCACAAGACCAGACTATTACCTACAAACACTACATGGTACACAGACTACACACACACTTCATACCCACTGTCTGGCTCCCCATTTACCCTCCCTCTCCCCTGCCAACCACCGTTCTATTTTCTGTTTCATTCATGTTGCTGCAGATGGTGAGCAAATCAATTGCCCAGGTTCTTGGGTGACGTCGTTTTCCTGCCAGGCACGGAGAGGCTGCCAATCAAAGTCACTGTTTTGTTAACCTGAAAAACTCTAAAACCCTAAAGGCTCCTGTGTCTGTCATCCAAGAGTCTCCACCCACCCCCCTTTACTGTCCTGATGAACCACTGAAGAATGACTCCGCTTCAGTAATGATCCACGTTCAAAGCCACTGAGGAGAATTTCCTCAGCAAACGCTGCCTGTACTCACCTCAACACCTCGTGCCACGCTGCCTCCTGCTTTTCCATTAGAACTCCCCCCACCTCGTGTCATGTTTCCTCCTGCTTCTCCATTGGAAACCCCCCTGCCCAATGACAGCTTCATCTATTAGTGTTGCTATTTCATTATCCTGGCCAAATGTTGGATACCTCACAGCACCATCAAAGAGAGTTACCGTTTGCAGCAGGTGCCTGGAAATTCTTGAGATAGGATAGCAAGCAAACAACTCAAGATGGTGTCAGGATTTGGAACCCAGCTGTTGGAAAAGAAACATAGGAGCTGGCACTTGCAGGCCACTGTGACTGCTGCTGCTGCATCTTGAACTTCCAGACCCATTACCCAACCACACTTGTCACGGTTGCTTAAGTTGTTTCCAGAAACAACTAGAAGCCGAAGAGTGTAATGTCTTCCCCCTTTCCTCCTTCTGTTTCCTGCAAATGTTTCCCATTGGCAGAACCTGAAGAGAAATCAGCTGGCAAAGGAATCTGGGAAATCGAATTTCAACACATAGCAGAGCACAGAAGGCTGGTATTGAGGGTGGGAAGCAGTCAGGCCACAACTGCATAAAAATGTCGTTATTGCGTTGGCCAGAACCACCTGCTGCCACCACCAGTACCAGCACCTCCTATAAAGCTTGGCATGATGAGAAGGTAGAGGTAGGGTCTTGGTATTAGAACTGTGTCTTGAAGACAAACTCCCAGAGTTCCCTTCCACGAGAAACCTACTTTCCCCTAGGATATGTCTAAACCCACCCCATTTCATTATTGGTCTGTTGTGTGTCCTTTTCCAACCTTGAAACTTGAATCTTGTGATTCTGTAGAGCCAGGTTCTGCCATTGGTCCGTGCTTGACCTTGGCATCATCTGGCATTTGGGGGCTTCCAGTTCTAGGCAGTAGGGAAATGCCAGAGTGACGCTTAGTTATCTAACAACCTTTTGGCTGAAAAGATACTTCTAGTACCTGTTTTAATATGAATGCCAAACTAACAAGGGCATTTCTATTCTTTCGTTTTGAAGGCACTGTCTCAGCAATACCAAAATGTAATGTTTGCTAACGTGGATATCGATGATTCTCCGGTAAGAGCCTTAAATCCTCCATGTAGAGACTTAAAATTTGAATACAGTGTCATTGAGCAGCACTGTCTCAGCAATCACATTATCAAATTAAAATCAAGTTGAATTCAACCGGTTTCTTCTGATAAATTATTGTAAATTTCCTCATACTGCTCTTGTATGTTTGTATTACAGTCAGAGTACATGGATTCTGCCTCTGCAAATTCAATTAATATTGATTAAATATATTCTTTAAGAAAACGTGTCTGTACTGAAAAACTACAGATGGTTTTTCCTGCCATTGTTCCTAAGTAATACAGCATAATAACTATTAACATGGATTTAATATCACATTAGACATTATAAGCAATCTAGAGGTGATTCAAATATACAGAAGAGGCAGGCGTTTGGCATAAGGGTTAAGCTGCTACAGGGGACACCCCAATTCTAAATCCGAGTGCTTGGCTTCAAGTACTGGCTCTGCTCATATTCCCAGCTTCCTGCTGATGTGCACACTGGGGGATAGCTGGTGATAGCTCAAATATTTGGGTCTTGGCTACTCATGTGGGAGACCCAGATTGAGTTCCTGGCTCCTGGTTTTAGCCGAGCTTAGCCTTGGCTGTTGTAGATATTTGGGGAGTGAACCAATGGATGGGAGATATTCTCTCTCTCTCTCTCTCTCTCTCTCTCTCCCTTTTTCCACCCTCCCACCTTCCCTCCCTCCCTCCCTCTACTGTTTCTTTCCCCTTCCCTCTTTTTCAAATAAATAAAATATATAAATAAAAATTAAAAAGAAGTGTACACAGTAGGATGTGCATAGGTTATATGCAAAATAGTATGCCATTCTATCTAAGGGACTTCAGAATGGATTTTGGTATCTGTGGGGGTCCTAGAACCAATTCCCTGCAGATAGAACAACTGTTTATGACTTTTACTAAAGGGTAAACCTGTCTTAAAATGCTAGAAAAATATACCATCCCATGTCTCAAGTGTAATTTGTAAAGATCCACTTTTCTATTTTTGCACTAGCCTATTTCCATATTTCCAGAACTATGACTTTATGCTTTTCTTTTCTTTCCTAGGAGTTGGCTAAAACTTGTCATGTCAAAGCAATACCCACATTTCAGATGTTCAAGAAAAGCCAGAAGGTATGTTTCCATGGTAACCAGCAGTATTGAATTAGATTATAGAACCATCAGATCAAAAAAAAAAAAAAAAGTTGGAGTATCCTGGATGAATGAGGAAAAATTGCACTCATTTTAGTACTGAGCAATGCAATTTTTAATTTTCAAATTTTACACACTAGCAACAGGTTAAAAAATGCATAACATAATAAATCTCCCTATCTGAGATGTCCAAATCCACGAGAACTTCCCTCCCCTGGGCAGAACCATCAAGGAAAATCTTCCAGAGCAGAACACGATGAAATTCTTGCGTGACTGCATACACGTTGTTAGCACAGCTGGGGAAACATTCAACAGAAGCTGTTACAAGGCGACACGGCCTCGTGGTGGAGCAGGCGGGGTCTGGGTCCAGATTCCACCACTTTCCGGCTGTGGAACTTTGAGCAGTTTTCTTGTTCTCTGTGTGTCTTGGTTTCCCCATCTGCAAAAATATGGATCCTACTAAGTTATCTTCTGCGTAAGTTTGTTGTGAGAGTTAAATTAATTATAACATGACTGAAGTGTTTAGATCCATTCTGGCATTAAACATTCTGTAAGTTATGCTGGTTATCTTGAAGACATTAATGGGGTAACATGTCTAAAATACCCAGTATATGACAAAACTAGTGATTCTGAGTTTGGCCTAGGACACTGACAATTGTGCATACCTTGTGAAAGGCGATTTTTGCAACACATTTAGGAAGCACAAAATGTTCAACCCTTTTTAAACATTTATTCCATTCCTGGGAACTTTTCTTCAGAAATACCCCCATGAAAAATAAACAGCTAAGTATATACTTATTGTAGCATTATGCTTGATTTTTTAAAAAGATTTATTTATCTATTTGAAAGTTAGAATTAGAGAGGTCTTCATCTGTTGGTTCACTCCCCAGGTGGCTGCAATGGCCAGGGCTTAGCCAGGCCAAAACCAGGAGCCAGGAGCTTCATCCAGGTCTCCCATGGGAGTGGCAGGGACCCAATCATCTGTACCATCTTCTGCTGCTTGCCCAGGCCATTAGCAGGGACCTGTATGGGAAGTGGAGCAGCCAGGATACAAACCAGTGCCCATATGGATGCCAGCATTTCAGGCAGCGGCTTTACTGCTATGCAACAAAGCTGGCCTCAGTTATCTTTTTTTAAGCTTTATTTATTTGAAAGTCAGAATTCCAGAGAGAGAGTAATTTTTAAAAATGGAAGAGTATAGAGGGTAAAGTCACTGTCTGCAGTGCCAGCATCCCATATGGGCAACGGTTTGAGACCCGGCTGCTCCACTTCCAAGCCAGCTCTCTGCTATGGCCTAGGAAAGCAGTAGAAGATGGCCCAAATCCCTGGGCTCCTGCACCTGTGTGGGACACTGGGAAGAAGCTCCTGGCTCCTGCCTTTGGATCAGCCCAGCTCCAGCTGTTGTGGCCAACTGGGGAGTGAACCAGTGGATGGAAAACCTCTCTCTCTCTCTCTCTCTCTCTGCCTCTCCTCTCTGTGTGTGTAACTCTGACTTTCAAATAAATAAATAAATAAAAATCTTAAAAAAATAAATTTAAAAAAATGGAAATCATCTTAATATCTTTAGTAGCGTGGCTAAGTGAATTATGATACATTTATTCTAGAAATGGCATGCAATGTAAAATGTTATGAAGAATATATAAGGTAAAAATCCATGCTTAAGATTTATGAAGATTATATCTGCAAAGTGAAAAATAAAAGCAGTTGATATGCTAGCTGTAGAATTTTATTTTCAGTTTCTATTTGTTTATATTTATTGTAATATAATTGGTGTGATAGATTTAAATTACTTGTAAAAACATGCTCTCCTCTGGTTTTTCTTTCTTTTTTTTTTTTTTTTTATTTGACAGATAGAGTTAGACAGTGAGAGAGAGAGAGAGAAAGAGAGAAAGGTCTTCCTTCCATTGGTTCACCCCCAAATGGCCGCTACAGCCGGTGCTGCGCTGATCTGAAGCCAGGAGCCAAGTGCCTCCTCCTGGTCTCCCATGCGGGTGCAGGGCCCAAGCACTTGGGCCATCCTGCACTGTCTTCCCGGGCCACAGCAGAGAACTAGACTGGAAAAGGAGCAACCGGGACAGAACTGGCGCCCACGTGGGATGCCAGCACTGCAGGCAGAGGATTATTAACCAAGTGAGCCATGGCGCTGGCCTGGTTTTTTCTTGAAAATTGAAGTTATTTAACATCTGTCCCTTCAACTTGCCCACCTACATGTCAAATTGCCTGTTCACCATCTTTTATTATCTTCTCTCATCTCAGAAATGAGGAGGCTCCATGCAGCTTGCTTGCATCCCCTCTGCTTGGTTCCAGGCCTCTGTGCATTGGCCGTTCGCAACCTTGGACTTTGAACGCTTTTTTGTTCCACCCAGCAGCCATTCTCCATCATCCTCTGAGGAATCGCGTCTTCTCTGCTTAGTCCATGTGTTTCTTTAGGGCTGCTTCTCCAGGCCTGGACCAACCAGTGACTTCCATCATAGGAATGGCCTTTGGTGCTCTAGTCAAGATAATCTAAACCAAACCAGAGCCGGCGCTGTGGCTCACTAGGCTAATCTTCCGCCTTGCGGCGCCGGCACACCGGGTTCTAGTCCCAGTCGGGGCGCCGGATTCTGTCCCAGTTACTCCTCTTCCAGGCCAGGGAGTGCAGTGGAGGATGGCCCAAGTCCTTGGGCCCTGCACCCCATGGGAGACCAGGAGAAGCACCTGGCTCCTGCCTTCGGATCAGTACGGTGCGCCGGCCGCGGCGGTCATTGGAGGGTGAACCAACGGCAAAGGAAGACCTTTCTCTGTCTCTCTCTCTCTCTCACTGTCCACTCTGCCTGTCAAAAAATAAAAATAAATAAATAAACCAAACCAGAGCTAACTCCAGGCTTTTCCAAAGCACTTAGGTAAAAGCATCCTATCACTGGATTTAATTTGGGGAAGGGAATGGGGCTGATGTAGCTGGAAGTCACCAAGAGTCTCCCTGCCCCTGATTTAAATAGCATTTCCCAATCTTTGTATACCTTGGTTACATGGAAGCACAGTTCACTGTGGGAATTTTCTTCTCTTTTAGCTTCTACCCTAAATTCCTCCCCAAGCTCTCCTCTAGTTTGTCTCTGGCTGCTCTCAAATATCAGTGTTTCACAATGTTGTATCCTTTCCTAGCCTAGCTGCTCTCCAACAATTTTGTCCCTGCTTCTAGTTCCAGCTACAAATATGTTTTATTTAAATGATTGAATAGCCCTCCTCACCCCCAAGTTAGCTCCACAGCCCTGCCCTGTTCTCCAAATATATCCTCTCACAGATCCATGAATGCCATGCCCTTACCTAAAATCGGATGCCCTTCCCCTTGTACTTCCTACAGGTTCAAGGCAAGTCCTTAGATCCAAGGCTGGCATTCAAGTGTCTCCATGATGTTAACCCAATGTACTATTCCAAGTCCTTTTCTGTTTAAGTCACGTCTTGCATTTGTGTATTTTTCTCGTGCCATCCCAAGCACCTGGAGGCATTCTTGCTTCCCTGAAAGCCCAGTGGCTTTAGAAAGCCCAGTGTTTAGCCCACTTGGAAGAGTTCTGGGTGGACAGAAAAGACTCATTATGTATATAAGGAACGCATGAGTGAGCGAGTGAGTGAACGTATGAATGCTTCCGTCACTGCTACTGCCGGCTCTGCTCCACTTCTGACTCTGTCCTCGTACCAGATAGGACTCAGAGCAAGTTTCCTTCAGTTCGGCACAGTTTTCTGGTTTCACTCCCTCTGCAAATGAGCTGGCTGGGTGGCTGCTGCTCCTGAAGTGTCTTTACTCCATTTTATGACAAGACAAGACTCTGAGTTCTCAACTGATTGTGCCTAGGCTCTGGAGCAAATCGAAGCTGTGTTTTGAGGGACCCTACTTAGTCTCATGAAGATGGAAAAGGCCTCATAAACAAGCAGGGCAATACTCTTCTAAACAAGTGCATTTGAACTGGCGTCTACAGGGTGTGGCTCTTTTTTAATTTTTATTTATTTGAAAGGCTGGATCAACAAAAAGAGACAAACAGAAAAATAGTGAGAGATCTCCCATGTGCTGTTTCACTCCAAATGTCTACAACAGGTGGAACTGGGCCAGGCCACACCCGGGAGGTTCTACCTCTATCTGGGTCTCCCACATGGGTATCAAGGATCCAACTATCTGAACCATCACGGTTGCTTCCAAGGGTGCACATCAGCAGGAAACTGGAATTGAACTGGCATCTGGGACTCGAACACTGGCACTCTGATAGGGTATGTGGTTATCCCAAAGGCATTTTAACCACTAGGCCGAAGCCTCACCCCTAAGGCTGTCTTGAACTGATAGAACAAAATGCCTGTGCTCTAGAGATTACGAAGGGCATCAAATTTGAATTTTCCACCAGGTAGCTATTGGAAAATAAAGCTAACTGGACTGATGGCACCATCAATTAAGCTGATCTAAATCTTTATTTTCTAATTCCAAGGTCACTCTGGGTAGCCATGTTCCAAGTTTTCTTGAGAATTGAATTTCTCATTGCATATTACTAACTTAACATTATGGAGTTTTAAAATGAAACAAAGGCTTGAGACCATTTATGTTATTACATACAAGTGGACCTACTTCTAAATTCTGCATAGGCATTTGTGTCTCCTAGCAGATTCATACCTGAATCAATTCAGATTTGTAACACTGGGCCCATTTGACAAAGAATATCAATCCTCTATGCAAAAGACAAGGGCCAAAAAAGGAGAGGAGATCCCATAGGGACAATACTCCAAATCTTTTACCTCTTTGACTCAACTTCCAGCACGGGGTGCCTAGACAGCTCTGTAGGGCTCTGTGGAATCTGCAGTTCCACCATTACATATACACTGCAGTTAAACCATAGCATCTCTGAAAACTTCCTGCAGATTCTTAACCTTTATTTTAAAAGTATTTATTTTTATTTTGTTTAAGAGACACAGGTAAATAGAGATCTTCCATTTGCTGGTTCATTCCCCAAATGCCCTTAACA